TTCACTTCTACTTGTTGAAGGAAGAGCTGTACAATGTCCAAACTGATCCACCTATTCTCAAGTACAAGAAGGCTTGCAGAGAAGAAGCTTCCAAGGAAAGGAAAGCAACCGCTGAAGATGCTACCACTAGTGCTGCTGGTGCTGGAGATGATGGTCTGCCTCCACCTCAAAAACGTTATGGTGGGAACATATATTACTTTGAAGATTACAACTGGGAGGAGCCAGGCACTTCAGGGTTTAGAGCTCAACAAAAGATCGGTGTTCTCCAACAATGGTGCAAGTACCAGGATAAAACAATCCACAAGATGGTAAAGTGCATCAAGGAGATGAAGAAAATGATCAAGAAGCTTGAAAACCCTTGCAAAGGTGGATCTCCAACACCGGTTTCACTAAGGCACAGAGAAGAGGTTGGAGAGAGTTCCACCAACTACACAGCCCTAGTCCTATATGGCACAGCATGGGTGGATCTTGAAGACGGTTATGATGAGGCAAGCCATCACTCCTGGGAGACACCGTCCGGTCACACTTCAAACCCCTCTTACTCTTTGTGGTCAGACTTCCACAGCTCTTAGGTAACACTCCATCTCTGTATATATGCATGTAGTTAGCTTGTTTTCTCTATGCATTTTGTGATTTTGCTTTGCACTTCTCCTTCATGCTTTTATAACAAAAGGGACTGTGTTATTTAAGTGTGGGGGAGGAGTTTCATCTTTCACTAATCATGTTTTCTCTGTTCTTATTTTATACCTTGAGTCTTGAGTCACATTCTTGCATGCATTCATGTAGATGCATTTCATCTAAGTGCATATATAAAAAAAAAATTGAAAAATCTGAAAATCAAAAAAAAAAAAATGCTCATGTAGTTGCATTCTCATTCTTTTTAGGCTTGAGTCTAGTTGCATCATATAGGTTGCATTATGCAATGGAGCAATGATAGGTTTTCCTTCAGAGTAAATCACTTTGAGAATTTGGACTAAATCACTTTGAAATGATTTCTATGCTTGCAAGGCTTGAAATGATCTAAATCTGAGAAGCAAGTTTGAATTGAACTCAAATCTAATAAGTGAAAACCCTGAACTTGACTTGAAATTATCATTTGGTGCATTGTTTGAATAAGCTTGTGGATACCATTATACATATTTGAGCTACAATCCTGTTTCTACCATCCTCTTCCTTAGCTCAAATAGCTGAATCTGCATAATAGATCAGTTTTCCTCACCCTGAACCCATCCTTCTTTCAAAGCAATTGTTTGTGTGTGATTGAGAGGCCACCTTGGACCAAACTTAGCAGAAAGTGTTAGGTTTAGGGCGACAAGGGCAAGCCTCATTATGAGTAAGTTCCATCATAAAGGAGCTGAGAATTTTGGCGAGATTTAAGTGTGGGGGAATACTTGTTGGTGAGTGGAAAAAGGAGAGATGAGTGAAAATAAAAGGAGAATGGTGAGAACTAGGGGATAAAAAAAGAAAAGAAATCAGTCTTGGATTTTTGAGTCAAAGAAAGTGAGCTCTAGTGTTTTGAAAAGAAAGAGTCTGGCCTCTAAGTGAAAGGAAAAGAAAAGAAGCCAAAGAGCTCAAATGTTTTAAAAAGATAGAAAAAAAAGAGGCTAGAGGTTAAAAAAGAAGTGAACAAGAGCTATTAAAGTTATAAAAAAAACATTATATTGAGATCACACAAATTAGCTGACGTGGCAAAGGCGATTGTGAGGGCGATTTAGGGTTTCAAGTCTTCACGCTTACGCTACGGCACCGGCTGCCGCCGTAGGAGTCATGGAGTCGGAGATACGGATCTCTGATGGAGGGGGAGAGGAGAAGAAGCATCTGATGGTGGATACGAGTGGTGGTATGGGGAACGATGAGGTAAACAAGGGTTTTGACACAAGCTCTGCATCAAAGCAGAACATGACTGACATTAATCGGGAGGAGGGTGAACTGACTCCAGTAGTGGGTACTGTCTCTGATCAGATCGGAGAACTTCCAATATCACAAGAGACGGAGGGATCAGTGAACTTGGCCGTTACAAACAAAGTCGCATCATGGGTTTCCTTGGTAAAAGAGAAACCTGAAATGATTCAATTTGATATGAAAGTGGAGGAGATTGATGGAATGCCGACGGCTAAACTCCCGGAAAGTGTGTTTAACGATGCTCCTCCCCTTTGGGAGGATTTCATTATCGGAAAATTCCTATCCAAGGCTCCTTTTGTTGGGAAAATTCATGCCTTAGTGAATCGGATATGGTCTCTAGGGGACAAGTCTGTCAAGATTGATGTCATTGTCATTGATGCAAAAACAATGAGATTTCGGATTAAGGATAAAAGTGTTAAGGAACGTGTTTTATGAAGGGGCTTGTGGAACCTTTGTGGTATTCCGGTGGTTGTCACAAGATGGAGTCCTATTGCAGAAAAGGAACAAGCAGCACTGACTTCAATTCCTTTGTGGGTTGTTGTAAAACATGTTCCACCACATCTGTTCTCATGGAAGGGGCTTAGTGCTCTTACTAGCCCTTTGGGGAAACAAAAAAAACTGCATCCAAACACAGAAGCTTGCAGAAATGTGGAGGAAGCCAAGGTTTTTGTGGAGGTTGATTTAACAAAAAATTTGCCCAAGAAATTCTGTTTTCAATCAGAAAGGGGACCAGACACGGTGGTGGAATACCTTTTCGCATGGCTTCCACCTCGTTGTAGTAAATGTTCTAAATGGGGTCACCTGGACAAAGTCTGTAAAGCAAGTATGGAAAAAAGGAAGAACTAGAGGTTGTCGAGAAAACAAATTTGCAATCGGCCAGCCCTAGTGCAGAGGGAACAAGCAATGCATTGCAGGAGGGAGAGAATCGAGTAGAAATCTCAGACAAAGTAAATGACGGAGAGAAACAGGTTGCTGAACAAGGTTGGTCCACACCAACAAAAACCAGTCGCAGCCCGGGAAAGAGTCAAGATTTGAAATATGGAGAAGTATCAATTCTCTCTAATTCACGTTTTGCTATTTTAAGTGAAGAGATTGAGGACAATTTGAAAGTACCTGAGATAATGGGAGAGGTCAATATGGAAAGAGATGAGGGGAATGTATCAGATATTCCGATCAGTTCAGAAAAGGAAAAAGCTGAAGAAACAACAGAAGTGAGTTCAAAACAGGGGGTGAGTCAACCAGGAGAAAATTAGAAATCAAAGGAACTGTTAGGAGGAGGGCGACCATTCCTGCCTCGCAGTTTCAAGGAGTCCCATAAGTTTCTCCAAAACTCCACAACAGCAAAGACTAAGGATATCAGGAATGGTATCCGGGAAACACGTCAAACCTCCAAACATCATTGATGTCGGGTTTCTTCTGGAATATCAGAGGACTAAATAAGCAAAGTAAACACAAAGTGGTGAGGGACTGGGTCAGGAAACACAATTTTGATTTTGGCTGTTTGATTGAAACGAAAGTAAAAGAAAGCAGAGCTGAGAGACTTTGTAACGAGATATTTAAGGACTGGTCTTTGATGTCAATTTATGAGGAGCACAGGTTAGGGAGGATTTGGATTGTTTGGAGAAATAATACCTGAATCACACAAAATTTTAAATCATCGCAGATGATTACGGTTTCAGTCCTTGTTGAAGGGAGTCAGGAGGAATTTTTTGTCTCCTACATTTATGCGTCTAATTTTGTTGCGGATCGAAGAGTACTCTGGGCAGATATCCGCTTCCATCACGAATCACCTCTGTTTCGAGGTAAACCATGGATGTTATGTGGGGACTATAACGAAATTCTGCAGGGAGAGGAACATTCGTTATTTGAGCCCACACCGACTATTCCTCCGGGAATGAGAGATTTCCAAGATCTGGTGCAGTACTGTGAACTAACGGATCTGATCTTTCATAGACAGAGATTTACTTGGTGTAACAAAAGGAGTGATGGAGTAATATGCAAGAAACTCGATCAGGCATTGGTCAACAAGGAATGGTTATATAAATTTTATAGATCTTACAGCGTTTTTGAACCAGGAAGATATTCTGATCATCTCCGCTGTAGAGTCTATATAAAGGAGGCAGAAGAGAGAGTCAAAAAACCGTTCACCAATGATACTACTCAACATCCAAACTTTTTGCGCGAGATAGAGGAAGAGTGGAAGCAGACTCCTCCCTTATTCACTTCTACTTCTGCGCTGCATCGTCTTACGACGAAACTGAAGCAGACAAAACCAAACTGCGAACCTTGGGGAAAGAACTTATGGCTGATATATCTAAACGTACTGCAGATGATTATCTCCAGCTGTGTGCACTGCAGGAACAAACTCTATCTGCTCCACACTCAGGTGCAGTTGAGGAGGAAGCCACCGCACTTGAGAAGTGGATGAGACTTGCGGATATCGAGGAGAGGTATCTCCGTCAGAAGTCAAAGCTACATTGGTTACTAGTGGGTGACAAAAGTAACAAGGCTTTTCACAATGCTGCAAAAGTTAGAGAAATGAGAAACAGCATCACGGGGATCCGATGTGGTGATGGATCCATAGCAAAAACGCAAGAGACAATTAAGGCTGAGGCAGTGAGATACTTCACGGATTTTCTATCTAAAGAGCCAAATGACTTCGAGACTTGGTCAACAGAGGAACTAAAGGGGTTTTGAGCTACCGATGTGCTACGGAGGATAAGTTATTTCTTACAAAAGAAGTGACGAAGGAGGAGATCAAGAAGGTTATATTTTCTATGCCAAAAAACAAGTGACCAGGTCCTGATGGCTATACAAGTGAATTTTTTAAGGAAGCATGGGCTACAATTGGTGAGGATGTGGTCATTGCAATACAATCTTTTTTCAAACTAGGGTTTCTTCCAAAAGGTGTGAACTCCACCATACTTGCTCTTATACCAAAGAAAAAAGAAGCTATAGAGATGAAAGATTATAGACCTATATCTTGCTGCAATGTCTTATACAAAACAATCTCCAAGATCCTGGCCAATAGACTCAAAACTTTGCTCCCAAAGTTTATTCAACACAACCAATCTGCATTTGTTCAGAATCGACTCATCATGGAGAACATTCTTCTAGCAACCGAAATTGTGAAATATTATCACAAACCGTCAGTTACACCAAGATGTGCCATGAAAATCGATATATCGAAGGCCTTTGATTCAGTACAGTGGCCGTTTTTGCTGAATATAATGCAGGCTTTGGATTTTCCTGATGTTTTCATATGCTGGATCAATCGCTGTATCACTTCTGCCTCATTCTCTGTACAAGTAAATGGGGAGCTCACTGGTTATTTTGGGAGCAAAAGAGGTCTAAGACAGGGCTGTTCCCTTTCCCCTTACCTCTTTGTTATGTTCATGAATGTGCTTTCATGCAAGATCGACATGGCTGCTGCAGACAGAAAATTCGGGTATCATCCTAACTGTAAGAATCTCTCTCTCACACACCTCTGCTTTGCTGATGACCTGTTGGTATTTACTGATAGGGAGAAACGGTCTATTGAAAAAATTCTGGAAGTGTTTAAGGAGTTTGAACGAAGATCAGGCCTTAGCATAAGTCTTGAAAAATCGACTCTCTACACGGCTGGAGTCTCAGACGAAGTCAGGGATGATATTCTCAACCAATTTCCATTCGATCATGATACAAGCACCAAGCTGTCAAGGACTTGTATAGAATAGGAAGCAAAGCTTTAGGTCGATGGCCAAGGGTTGATTCAAATGAATGAGCAACTCTAGACAAGTGAATCGATATGGTGGCAAAGGTTGTGTAAGACTTGTGATAAAACACAAGAACTTTAATCTAGGAGGTACTGGTCTCAACTAGAGCAAAGGGTTAAACAAGTTTCTCTCAAAGAAAACTGGTTTGAAGAAAGTTCGATTTTTATTGATATGAAAGGTGAGAAATTACAAGGCTGTAATGGGACCTTATATAATGGTCCTAGCAGCTTAGACTCAAAGAAATAAAAAGACTCAAAACAACAGGACTTTTAAAAGTAAAGACTCAAAACAACAGGACTTGTAAATTAAAATTGCTAAATTAAAGGACTTAAAAAAGGAAATAAAAGACTAACTAAATTGTCTCTGCATAAGACCAAAGACAAGAGAAACTCATTAGTCAAAGAATTGAAATTTGATTGAACACTTACCTTATTTGGTGGCTGAGACATGTGTGGCTTTGACCGAGTTTGAATCTTCCCTCCTAAGTGTCTTGGTTCATTAGCATGAAGACTTGGGCTTGATTTGGCAAAAGGGGCCAGACATCTTGATTCTTTGAAGCTGGGCCGTTTGCTAGCTCTTGGCATTTTTCAAGTAATCCAGTCTAAGCTTGTTGTTGATGGGCTTCATTATGCGGCTCATTTTCTTGGTCTTCTTGCGGCCTTGTTTGATCCACTTGAGATATGGCTTGTAACATACTTTGGTTGTACCTGTGCTGAAGGACCTTTGCTCTTTGTCTTGTTATTGGCCCTTGATGAATGATTGGTACTTCCACATCTTGTAGTTGCGGCTCGGTTAAGTCTGGTTCAGCTTGAATGGCCTCATCATTCCCTCCCTCTTCAAGAGGTTTTGACCTCAAAACTGGATCATCTGAAAGATATGGAGCAAGATCAGTTACATTGAAAGTTGAGGACACATTAAACTCACCTGGCAATTCAAGTCTGTATGCGTTGTTGTTGATCTTATCTAGTATCTTGAAAGGTCCATCTCCTCTTGGTGCTAGCTTTGAACTCCTTTGGTTTGGGAATCTCTCATGCCTCATGTGTAGCCATACCCAATCTCCTGGTTCGAACACCACTTCCTTGCGTCCTTTGTTGGCATGCTTCACATATTGTTCAGTTCTCTTCTCCAAGTTCTCCTTTGCCTTTTGATGTAGTTTCTTTATGAAATCAGCTCTTCTTTCTCCATCTAAGCTCACGGCTTCAGATGGTGGTGGTGGTGTGAATTCCATTGGGGTCTTGGGGTTGAATCCATAGACTATTTCGAATGGAGACATCTTTGTAGCTGAATGTTGAGCTCTGTTGTAGGCAAATTCGATGAAGGGTATGCACTCCAACCAGTTCTTCATGTTTCTTCCAAGAGTGGCCCTTAACAATGTAGATAAGGTTCTGTTCACCACCTCAGTTTGGCCATCTGTTTGGGGAAGACAAGTAGTAGAGAACAAAAGTTTAGTGCCAAGCTTCTTCCACAAGGTTCTCCAAAAGTGGCTCAAGAACTTGCTATCTCGGTCAGATACAATGGTTCTTGGCACTCCATGTAAACGCACAACCTCCTTGAAGAATAGATCCGCCGTTTGAGATGCATCATTAACCTTTGCACAGGGTATAAAATGTGCCATCTTGGAGAATCTGTCCACCACCACAAATATAGTCTTTGTGCTTGATCTTTGGCAACCCCAGCACAAAATCCATCAAAATATCAACCCATGGTGCTGTAGGAATCGGTAATGGCAAGTACAAGCTGTGAGGGTGTACTCTAGACTTGGCTTTCTTGCATATCACGCATCGTGCACAATGAGCTTCTACAGCCTTTTTGAGGTGAGGCCAATAGAAGTGATCTTTCACCACTGCAAGTGTCTTGTCTACTCCAAAGTGACCCATCAGTCCTCCTCCATGAGCTTCTTGGACAATAAGATCCCGAAGAGAACATTGCGGTATACAAAGTCTCTTGTCTCGAAACATAAAGCCTTCATAGATGTAGAACTTGCCATGAGTTCCCCTGTTACACTCCTCAAAGCTCTCTCCTAGCTCTGGATCTTCTTTGTAAAGGTCTTTGATGAACTCAAACCCCATAACTTTGGCCTCCATAGTTGCGATGAGTGCATGTCTTCGAGATAAAGCATCCGCCACTATGTTGTCTTTGCCCTTCTTGTACTTGATAATGTAGGGGAAAGTCTCAATGAACTCCATCCACCTGGCATGTCTCCTCTTGAGATGGGTTTGTCCTCGAAGGAGCTTAAGTGTTTCATGGTCAGTGTGGACCACAAACTCTCTTGACATCAGATAATGCTGCTAAGTCTCCAAAGCTCTAACTAGAGCATATAACTCTTTTTCATACGTTGGATAGTTAACCGTAGCTCATCCAAGCTTCTCACTGAAAAACGCCACTGGTTTCCCTCCTTGTGTCAATACAGCTCCTATGCCAATGCCTGATGCATCGCACTCCACTTCAAACGTTTTGTTGAAGTCGGGTAGCACAAGAACCGGTGCATTGGTAAGCTTCTCCTTGAGAGTATCAAACGCCTTTTGTTGAGCTTCTCCCCATGTAAAACCAACACTTTTCTTCACCACAGCAGTGAGAGGTGCGGCTATACTACTGAAATCCTTGACAAAACGCCGATAGAAGCTTGCTAACCCATGGAAGCTCCTCACTTGGCTGATATTTGTTGGGGCCGGCCAGTCTTTGATGGCTTTTATCTTCTCCTCATCAACCTGTAATCCCTGCGAGCTCACAACAAAACCTAGGAAAACCAACTTATTAGTGCAGAATGCGCACTTCTTTAAGTTTGCATAAAGGCCTTCTTCTCGAAGAGTCTTTAAAACAAGCTCAAGATGTGACACATAATCAGATAAACATTTGCTGTAAACTAAAATATCATCAAAATAAACAACAACAAACTTACTGATGTATGCTCTAAGAACTTGGTTCATTAGACGCATAAAGGTACTTGGTGCATTGGTGAGGCCGAAGGGCATCACCATCCACTCATAGAGACCTTGCTTGGTCTTGAAGGCAGTCTTCCATTCATCACCTTCTTTCATCCTCACTTGATGGTATCCACTCTTGAGATCGATCATTGAGAACAAGGTGGCTCCACTAAGCTCATCAAGCATGTCATCGAGTCTTGGAATTGGGTGTCTATACTTGATGGTGATGTTGTTGATAGCTCGGCAATCTACACACATGCGCCAGGAGACATCTTTCTTTGGCACCAACAGGACAGGAACGGCACAAGGGCTGAGGCTCTCCCTCACATATCCTTTGTCTAACAGCTCCTTGACTTGCCTCTCCAACTCCTTGGACTCCTCAGGGCTGATTCGGTAAGCCGGTTTGTTTGGTAAAGCTGCTCCCGGTATGAAGTCTATTTTGTGTTCTATGCCTCGAATTGGTGGCAATCCTTCAGGCATTTCTTCAGGGAACACATCTTTAAACCTGTCAAGTAAGTCAGTGATCTCCGGTGGTAGTTCAAGTTCACCTAAACCTGCGCTCAAAAGCTCCTTAAAGATCATTAGTAGCATTATGTGTTTAGCAGCAAAAACTTTTCTAACATAGCTAGGCTGAACAAGAAAATTTGACTTAGAGATACTTTCTTTTTCTTTAAGCATTTGCATTTGTAGTTCATGCACTTGTGATGGTGTAAGAGGTGCTAAACTAACTTTTCTTTTGTTATGCATAAGAGTATACATATTAGTCCTACCATCATGCTTAGTTTCTCTATCAAATTGCCATGGCCTACCTAACAACAAATGACCAGCTTGCATAGGAACTACATCGCATAAAACTTGATCTTGATATTTTCCTATGCTAAATGGAATGGTAACTTGATCGGTAATCTTAAGCTTTACCTTATCATCGAGCCATCTCAGCCTATTGGGCCGTGGATGCTTAGTTCTCTCAAGGCCTAGTGATAGACAAGACTTTTTAGGGTCTCAGGGCTATCAATCCCCTTGTCAATGTAGCACAAAGAGGTTTATCAATCCAGATGTGGTGTTAGACACTAAGCTATATGATCAAGTTCTTAATTCAAGCAAACAAGAGTGGGTTTTGATTAATCTAGAGACAAATATAAACATAAACAGGATTAAAGACTAATGACAATGACAAATGATATGATGTGAATATGATATGATGGAGGCATGAGATTCTAGACATGATAGTTGGTTAGGGTGCTTTAGTGTTAAACTAGAAATGCTAATGACAATGATGAGACATGATTCAAGTGATTAAGAACTCTAATCTAGGTTAATCCTCTCATGAAGGTATTAACCCCTATACTAATCCATTTTCAAACCAAATTCCCATTTGTGAAATATGAATCAATATGCATTAATAAACAGTTCTCAATGATCATTCAAGCATTTAACAAATCATTCCTATGATGAAAAATTACTTAAACCTCTAACACAACTCTTTCAGGAATTTCATCAAACACTTTTGGTGCATGAAATTCCCAGAATCTAGATTTCAAGTGATTATCAAGGATCTAGCATAGAGAACAGTTGTTTAGAGAAATGAACCAATGAATCTAGCCCTAAGCACTCCTAATCTAACACTTTAGCTCCCTAACCTACACATCTAGAACCTCATTAAGGTAACTACTCACTAATCATGATCAACACACTAGATCCTTTGCAAGATGTGTTGTTAATCATGATTAGAAGTTGATTTTGATGAATAGAAATGATGAACATGATGGAAAGAAACTGCAAATCGATTTAAACTCTCTAAAACAAAGTGTATTAAGTGGTTTTTCACAAAAGGGGGAAAAAAGACTAAAAGTAGATTAAGTTCTCCCCAAAAATTAGGTCTAAAAACCTTATAAAGGAGGCTTGGGCAAACCGGGTCAACCCGGAACAAACCGGGTACTGACCCGGCCTTGATGGGCA